CGTAAGTTCGAACTCTCACTCTGGGGATAACCTGAAAGTATTGATCAAAAATATGTTTCTTAATTAGCCCCTTTCGGGCACCACTGTGTATAATAGCAATGGTAAATTTCACATTATTTTCTTATTACGATGATGTTTTATCATTACTTTACCTATGGTTTTATATTCCACGTCGGATACAAATCTTATGTCGTCATCTTTGGTGATTTTTCCAAATAAACCACATGCAAGGTGAGCCCCTCGCCGACATCATCGTCATCTCAATACGTCTGTCGGCAGTTGTAGGTGGAACAGAAGTTACTTCTTTAGGAGAAAAACGTGAATTAATATACAATTTAAGAAAGTTCTTGTAAATTTTTATATGTAATATATAACATGGAAAAGAAAAGTTTAGTACGGTGTCGTTGGATTTGCGATGTGCGGCAGCTGGTGCAATAGTAGCTTGTGGTGGGTGGTGTACGCGCTCTAATAATCAAATATTATAATAAAATTAGTAAATAATCTGCAGTATACATTTATATACATCTATACACAGTAGTGCATTTACAGAAAATTTCAAGATTAGAGCTTTATAAAAAAAACACTTTAGAAAACCGCGGGAGAAAAGGTACACCAGCGATATCTAAAAAGCAAGTGAACAATAATTGAAAGTAGAGAGAAAAAGCCTTAATTCTTACGATTTTGCTATAGGGAGATAAACGTTGACGATTATACTCGTCACAAACAACGTGACACTAGAGACGGGTAACTCTACAGTATATATGTATCTCAGGATATGTCATATCCGACTTCCCTAACTGATACTAAATCTGTTAACATGTGCAGATATTGGTTGAGATTTTTTACTAATAAAGATTTGGGTCGAAATAAGTGTTTTGTTTTCTCGTCACAGACAGTTTTAGGACTTTCCGGGTATATGTCTCAAAATAATGCTATTTTGTATTCTATATTTTGTACACGATAATGTTTGTCCGTAAATGAGCTTTTTTAATGGTATACAATCAGCCAAAAAAATATTTAGTATTATATTATAACTTTTACACAATAATTTATAATTGTGTAAAAGTAATAATATGCTAATCAAACTACCTGATGTATAATTAATTCTCAAAAGAAAATAATAAAGAATGTGAGGTATTATTATTTTGTAAAAAATATTATATACAAAGATTTGTTCTTATTCTATATATAAGGTTCATTGCATTATTTTCATATAAAAACATATGCAAAAAAAAACTATATTTTCTCTTCAAAAATAATTACAAAATTGATTTTGATTCCCAAGTTTTTTTGTCAATTTGAGATTTGTATGCATTTTGTAAAATCATAAAATAGTAATTATTATAATAAAATGAACACAAAATGTTTGAACTATTTGTAAACTATTTCCAAAGTCTTAATAAATCCTTAGATATGTTAACAACACACCAGAGAACACATTTTTGTGTCAAGTATTATGTTTTAATGATGTCGGAGTTGTGGAGTTGTAAGTGGATATAACTCCTCTTTGAAGCAGAGACAAATCCTAACCATTCGATGTGATCTCCACAATTAACTGGTTAATCAATGACTTGACTGTTCATAATTTACTCGTACAAACTAGTTATTTTAATTAACACTTAAATACATACTTCTAATGTTGTACAATTAAGACCGTCAAAATCATCGTCATCAGTTTTGTTGGCTCCGTCATTAGATCGGCGAATGGTTTGAGATCTTCTACATTCATGGTTGTTTGGGCCTGTGAAAAGTGTTAATTAATTAACTTATTTCAATTTTTAAACTGAAAACTCATTAACTTCCCGTAGGGTAAATTATAGTAATAGCAAAAAAAATCAAAATGATAATTGAATGTATGTGTGTGTGTGATGTAATACAAAATTTCGTTGACGATTTCGGGAACACCGATCAACCGATTTGAATAATTTGAAAAACATTCGATTCGTATTGATAAGGAGACGTGCTGATCAGTTTTTGGCGAAGGCAGGTCTAGCCGTTCCAAAGATATGTGGCAAAAGTGCCAAAAACGGTAACTCAGTTTTTAAGAGAATGGAGCGTCTGATTTAATAATTCAAAAAACATTCAAAACAACAGCAGGCTTAGCGGTTTTGGAGATCTAGTAAAAAAAAGTAAAAAAAATGCGATTTGGCGGTCAAAATTGATCATTAGATACAGGCACATCAAATCATCAGATATTTTATAAGAGATTTTAATAATGTGTACACATGTTGTGCAATTTTTTTTGGGTTCCGTACCAAGATTTTTAAGTTTCCGTAGGGTAGTTATAGTAATGGCCGAAAATCAAAATGAAAATTTTGCATTTCTCGACGTTTTGAAGGTTTCTGAACATTTTGGCATGCCTCAGAAAAAATTGATGTGTGTGTGTGTGTTCTGTATGTCCGCATATTTTCGTCCATGTTTTCGGGCGCACGGATCAATCGATTGAATGGTTTAAAAAACATTCGATCCCTATCGATAGGGAGATGTGCTGATTGGTTTTTGGCAAAGGCAGGACCAGGCGTTTCGAAGATACAGAGCTAAATGTGCAAAAAATGGCAGTTTTTGAGTGAACTAAGCGTCCGATTTGAATGATCTAAACAACTTTCAGCTTGTATTGACAAAACAATTGCTTTTGAGGATAAAAAATTATTACATCTTTTAATTTTCCATAAAAGTTTTTGTAATTTGAAAATTTTAAAAAATTACTCAGCCTAAACGCCACTCTGGTACAAATGTTTACCTAAGTGAAAAATATGAAAAATGTGAAAATGCCGCCAAGCTAAGCACAGTATAAGTGAAAATGTCGCACAGAATTATTTGCAAATGCGTTTAGACTGTGACTATAAACTTTTTCAATTTTGTGCAAATTAAGCAACTATTTTTTTGAATTTGAATTCGAAATGAAATGACGATTGTTAATGTTTGGAGATTGATTGATTTATGATTTACATTTGATTTGCTCAGATATAACAAGATAGCGAAAATAATGAAAGTTACAGTATTTGTAATATATATATATATATATATATATATATTTGAAAAACTTTTAAAATTTCTCGAATATTTGCCTTAAGGCACGATGCCATGCAGCCCACTAGTATAACTCATTGAATTATATCATTATTGAATCGTATATAATATATTTATATCGACTTACCATTTTCTTTACAATTCCTGCAGCCTCATGCTCCAGAGGAGGAAGTTTAGGAAATAGCTCAGCCTGATTTTCGTACTCGTAGTCATCCGAATCAGATTTGGCATATCCGTTACGTGGTTTTCTTTTCTGTTAATGAAATAATTGAAATATAAGTACTTTGTGAAGAAATTTTATGTATGCAATTCAATTGTATTCTACAACTTCCAACACCAGTTTTTATCAAAAAAATAAATTTGAACAAAAGTTAGATAATTTTCTGATAGGATTTTTTTTGTATCCTTACATTTCAAAACATTTTGGCATACCTTAGAAATGATGGATGTGTTTATGTTTGTGTGTATGTGCGGATACAATTTTTTGACGACGATTTTGAGAACGCGGATCAATCAATTAACAACGGACGAGATTATTTATTAAAAAAATTTATTTTATAACATTAAATATCAACGATTATGAGTAAATATGTACTAAATATTTAATAAATGGTCAACAAATATTCGGTGAGAATTGAAATCCAAGTATTTCATCTCGTGTACATGCTCTTTATATATTTGTTATAATTTCGAATCTGTCTCTTTAAAATCGTGCTCGTTTCTCATCAAATTATATGAATATATTAAAAAGTAATTATTTTTCTATTATCTGCTTATTAATGATAAGCAGATAATTGGAAGGTTCTTTGATATTTTATAAATTAAATGACATTTTGATCACATTTTGCACTCGATCTCCAAAACCGTTAGAACAGATTTTTTCCCGTCAATCGACTTTTTCTCAAAAATGGCTGGGCAGATTTCAAAAATTTAAGTCATTCGATGTATCTCGATGAGGACTATTGTTTGTCAGTCTTGTGCGACAATCGGCCAAGCCGTTTCTTTATAAATAGCAGAAAAATAAAAAAATATTCGTCTACGTTTTTGCCCGCAATTCTGAATTGATTTTGAAAATTCAAAAACTGTTCGACAGATATTGGTTGGGAATAGTGATGATTAGTTTTTGGTAGAGATTGGCCGGGCCGTTTTCTTGTAATAAAGTGTTAAAAAAAAATTTCATTAATTTTTATAACTTTTTTGACGGTACATACCATAGTCTTATAGATCATACTAAAATATGACGGCCCTACAACAAGTCCTTTAATTTGAAAAATTCTTCAAAGTTTGCAAAAGTTAGTATCGTTCTTTTGGCATTTGTCAAAATAAGACCTTCGATAGACGTTTTCTCAAAGACGCCTGAACCGATTTCAGAAATTTAAAAGCCATTTGATGTATCTCAATGAGGACTATCGTTTGTCAATTTTGTGCGACAATCTGCCAAGCCGTTTCTTTTCAATTTGGAAAAAAGTGTTAAACTTTTCGTCAATATTCAAGTTCATACTACCGAATCGGTTTTAAAAAATCAAAAACTATTCGAAAGATATTAGTTGAAAATGATACCGATTAGTTTTAAGTGAAAATCTACCGAGCCGTTTTCTTGTAATTAGCTGTTGAAAAAAAAATTGAATCGATTTTTATGAAACTTGTTTTGGCGATATATATCATGGTCTTATAGAACTTACTGAAATATTACGGGTTTGCGACAAGTAGTTTAATTTTAAAAATTTTAAAATTTTTCTTTTTTGTATCGCAGAGCAAAAAAATCAGATTCCGAAACAATTTTTAAATTTTTGAAAAAGTGACCTGTGGACACCCAAAAAAATTCGCAACGTCTCTGAAAAGGGGTGAAAAAATAATTTTTTTGAATTTTTTTTTTGTTTTTTATTAAAGTAAGCGAGCAAAATATTGGGCATTTTCAAAACCGTCAATTTTTTTAAATTGGCAAATTTGGGAATTTTCCTATGCGTGAAAGTCTATGATGTGCGAAACTTTTCCAAAAATTAATTGTACCATTCGACAGCACAAAAATCACCGATAACGATAGTAAAAAGAAATTGTAATTATTTTGCATTTTTAAAGGGGTTGGTGCTGACTATACGTATAGTTAGCACCGAATTTGGCCACACCCATTAATCTCGAGAACGGAAAGAGCAAAAAAGTTTTAGTTTTGCCAATTTCCACCATCGCGGTGCCAAGTATATTCACGTATTAAGAAACTATTTTCTTACCTCGCGGTGTATAATTTTTTTCTTTTTTTTCGGATGGGCGACATCCGGTTTATGTCCTTCATCAGCTTTTCTGGGCATATTTTTAGCGCACGATGCCTCTTCCGACTTAGCGGTGGTGCTCTGAATTTGCTCCGTATATTTGATTCCTTTCATGTAGTGCTCTTTGGCGAAGTCTATAGTCGCGTTTTCCGTACAAGCACTTGTCGAAGGGCCGGTCATTGCGATGTCGTTGGTATTTAGTTCGGGCAAGGGCGGCTCGGTGGCTGAAATATTAAGAAACATTATTTTCCTGAAGTCAATACAGTAGAAACTCGATTATCCGGACCTCAGTTATACGGATTCGCGATTATCCGGACATAATCGCGTCGGAAATTGCATATTCCGCCCGCGCTGCTGTTTCGCTGCACCGCGCGACATTATCGCTTTATGTAGTTCATTTGCAATTTTACTAGTGTTTTCTGACTTGCATATATACATTTTTAAAGGGTGGTAATTAATACATTCTCTGTTTTGACGTGCATATATACATTTTTAAAGGGTGGTGCTATCTCTTAAATATAAAATAAATATCATAGAATCATTAAAAAAGGCGAAATCGGCCGTAAGTTAGCTGATAGGTATGGTGTAGGTACATCCACTATAAGCGATATTAAAAAGAATGCCGATTCAATTTTGTCGTACACTTGCAAGTTAGATAGTGAAGAGAGGAGTGAAAATCGGAAAATTATGAATATTAACTCTTAGAAGAAGCTCTATAGTTGGTTTTTAGAAAAACGATCAACAAATTATTCGTAAGCAACTTTTCTTCTTCATTGATACTTAACGTACCACCTGAATATTCTACCTCATGACTAATAAAATGTGTAAGTGTTAATTTTCTAATAAACATCCATTTCTGTTGATATCTATATATGTATTTGTTATTTTTGATAAACAAAACATTATTCTTCATAATTTGGATTATCCGGATTTTCGATTATTCGGATGCCTATCGACAACAATTTGTCATTTATGAGTGATTAGTCAATTTATTCAAGTATCTGTAAGTGAGGACTGGATACGGTTGTGCCATTCTTTTTGATCAATTCATTAGTTAGAGAAAAGTAAGCTGAATGGTAATTTGAACATTTATCTAGTGGAAATACTGAAATACTGTCCTTAAGGGGCACAACTAGTGTAAAATTTTCGAAAAAATCGGTTTTTGTTTTTTTCATATTTCGGTAGATTACACCTTTAAAAATAACATATTAAAATTTCAAATCGATATCTCAAATAGTTTTTGAGTTACAGCCATTTAAAAAGTATATATATATAATATATAGTACAACGATCATTTTATCTTTAAACGCGTTTTTCTCGAAACAGCATTTTCCGAATTTGCTGCAGTGATTACTCAAAAACAAATGATCCGATCACTATCAAATTTTTTTTACATGTTTTATATATAGTTCTGCGTAAAATGAACTATCGATTTTTTGATAGGATCAAAAATCGAATTTTGGCAGTCAAAAAACGACCAAAATTTTGGGTAAAATTCGACTTTTTTTTAAAAAACGCCGTCATTTCGTCAATTTTTGATCTTTTTTCTTCATCATAGTTCATTTTTCAGACAATATTATCTAGTTTAACAAGATTTTTTTTTTTAATTTCATCCACGTAGAAGGCCGAAAGCACTGCAGCAGTGAAGAGCCTTTTTTTGTCGCGTCTTTGGAAATCGATGATATCTTGAAAAATATTTAATTTTTTTGTTCAAAAATTTTACTATATATTTTTAAAACATGTATAAATATATTCCTAAAATTTTGAAATGATTGATAAAGTAGTTAGTTTAGGCGGTTACACTAGTTGTGTCCCTTAATACAATATTTTAGTTTCATATTTCGAATAGACACATTTGAATGTTAAATTTAGATTTGACCAAGTTTTATAAAATACTGCTCTAGGATCAAGTACTGCGTTTGATCATATATGTAACATATAAACGAAGAAAAATAATAATAATGATTCGATTTACTTGTTTTGTTGGTGATTGGGCAAGCCGGAAAAGTCGTTTCGTTACACATTTTCATACAGGGTGGCTTATCGTCTTTGCACCGATCTAGAGGTAAAATCTGCAATTTCGTGGAATCTTTATAATGATAAGCGGCGCAATAGACCGATCTCAGAGTATATCCTTCGCCGTGTGTACAATTGCACGGCTTCCATTCACCCATCCACCATCTGAATCGAAATATATACATCAGGTGAATGAAATCATAAAAGTAAAAAAGTATTTACTATACATATATATATATATATATATATATATATATATATATATATAATTCTCACAAAGCCAGGCAAGGAATCAAATTGCAGGCCCGAGCAACGTCCGGCGGCTTATCTGTTACATCGCAATAGCTGTCGTCGACTTGTCCACCGTGGTCCTCCGTACAACGCGGAAGAGCTATCTACAATAAAAAAATAAAAATTGTAATGAAAACTACAATACAGTCAACCCTCTGATAACACGGTTCCTATATTACACGGAGCCAAAAATCAGACATCCTTCTGATAACACGGACTCCATATAACACTAATCTCGCTCAACAGGAACGAGTTTTTTCCGCGCAACATATGAACGATTCTAGTAACTCGATACGGTTGTAAAAAAATTATACTAGTATAGTTATCGAATATTTTATCTTTTACAATATATTTACATAACCATGCCAGTTCATGTTGTAACAGCGGTGTACGACATCGCATTAACTAGTGCTATAGTTTTTTCACACAAAATTAGTCTTTCTAAAACAAATACAGCTTGAAAAACTTTTTGCTAGAAAACAGTTTTTATCTTTCTAAAGGCGAAGTTTATGTTCTAATCCAGTGGTCGGGGAACTTTTGGAACCATTACCCCAAAATATTTTTGTGTAACCTCTCATTACCCCACAAAAAAATTAACTAAAGAAAATAAATAAATATATTTTACATGAAAATCCTACTAATACATGAATAAACTAGTGGTGTATGGCATCATGTCTTATGGCAAATTGCTGGATCTTTCCGCACCGTGACAAAATGTTCGAGAAATTTGTAATGTTTTCAATTAGATTATTATAAATACTGTAACATTGTATAATATTCATAAGATATATATATATAAGCTGAATTACAAATTTAAAATTATTTATTTGAAGTATATAAGTGAGTTTTAGAACTTTAGCCAGAATTAAAATTAAAATCTGAATTATTTTCGATATACAAAGAAAATTTTTTTGAAAAAAAAAAATTGAAATATTTTTCTTTTCCAAAAGCAATTGTTTTGTCAGCAAGTTTTTTTATCATTCAAATCAGATGCTTAGTTCTATCAAAAACAGCCATTTTTTGCACATTTAGCTCTGTATCTTCGAAATGGCTGGACGTTTCTTTGCCAAAACCTAAGCACTACTTCTTCCAATCATTACAAATGGAATGTTTTTTAGATCATTCAAATGGGATACTCCGTTCTCTCAAAAACTTGATTTCTATTTTCTGCACTCTTTACTGCGTATCTCCGTAACGGCTAGACCTGCCTTTGCCAAATACTAATCAGCATATTTCCCTATCAATAGGAATCACATGTTAAATAAACCATTCAAATCGGCGGGATTAGCTCAAGAGTAGCGTTCCCGATTCACATGCTGGAGGTTCCGAGTTCGAATCTCCGGCCAGAATTTGAAAAAAAAAATTAACTAGTTGGAATAATAATAGAATTATGAATTGTACTAATAAGATATGTATGTGAAAATCAAAATGTATAAAAATTAGATAATTAGAATTTGAAAATGAATTGAAGTAAGAAGTAATGAGAAGTATAGAAGAAAGAAGAAATAGTGGTTAGAAGATGAAGTGAGAAAAGATAGTAAAAGAAGAATGAAGATAAGTTAGTTAAGAAGTATAGAAGAAGAATAGGATTATTTGAAGAAGAAGATAGTATAAAATTGTAGATTGTATATGATTGTATAGAATAATGTAGGTGGCTAAATGCTCGAGTAAGCGAGGCCAATAAAAATAAAAAATAAAAAAAAAAAAAACATTCAAATCGCTTAATAATATAATCCGTTAATAATATAATTCGTGCGCCTGAAAACGTGAAAGGAAAAATGCGGACACACAAAACACACACACACATCCAAAATGTTCAAAAACCCCTGATACGTGAAGAAATGGAAAAATTTTCATTTTTGATGTTCGGCCCATTACTATAACTTACCCGACGGGACGTTAACAATAATGCCACAAGTGACAATAAACACGCAAACATGTAATGTAAGAACATTACGATTTGGAGAATTTGTATTGCTTCATTTTTGACACAATTTCTTCAAAATCTGGACTTTAACTTGTCAGAGCAATTTTAATACAATCTTCGGCATTCAATCTATTTCTTCTCGATTTTATGTTTATCAGACTGGAAAAGTTTGGTTTGCACAAATATGTGGTTCCAAATGGCAGCAATTTTCTTACCGCTTCTTCATATGCTATTTCAAAACCCTTTGCAGCTTTTGACATCCAAAAATATTACAGGTTTTGTTCACTCCCAAATTCAATACGTGCTTCGGTATTAAAACGAAGTTACAGAATTGATTCTGCCAAACCTGCTGGTTTTTCCGGTACCATGAACGTTTCACATTTAAAAGGATCTACAATCCAACTCACAATACGTGTGTCCAGATCTGTAAAGTTCTCCCAGGTGAAGTAATTTGTTTACAATTCTCCAAAAACAAAGCTAACCTTGGAAAAGATGCTATCTAGTTCTCTTCTACTTTCTGCCTCCAATATTCCAGCTTTGACTCAAATGCCGACAATATTTCTCTCGCTGAAATAGTATTAATATGCTTTCCCTATAATTCTTTGTTTAATATATTTATGCTCTCAAAAATGTCTGCTAAATATGCGAGATATGCCACCCAGGAAGAGTTTTTAAAATTTTCAGCAACAATATTTTTTTGAAAAATCATAGAGATTTCAGCTTCATTTTTAAGAGTTCATACTCAATTTAAAATATTTTCGCGAGAGAGCCACCTTATTTCTGTATAATAAAGGAGGTAGATCTCAGCTTTACCATCCTGATATAATTTACAAAATAGCCGCGTATTTAGTGCATGTCCCTTGATAAAATTTATAATCTTGATAACATCATGAGTGTGGGTTATTTTCTTTTACAAAAGCTGAAAAACCATAAATGTGATCCAGCATAGCTAGAGCTTCATCCAAAGACACCAAATTGCAATTTTAATCTTTGCGCTTTGAAGTATTCCATTACTTTATTATAAAATTTTCATTCCACGACATCTGAACTGAAGAAGAAAACAAAGCAGCAATTTCTTTTCAAATTTATCTACACAGTTATAGCAAACATATACCAGTTGTGAATTACTATAGAAATCCGTTGTCTCAAGCTGAATAGCAAAATATTTAGTTTGTTTTAATGCAAAAACTTCACATTTTTACTGAAGCTGATTTAAAACAAGCAAGATATTTAACTTATTTTAGTGCGAAAACTACTTTTCCTGGACATTTTCTGCTAATGCAGAATATTTTCCGATAGTAGGTTTTACTGAAGATGGTTTAGTGCTTCGCAAATATATATTTTACCCCCAAAAATTCCACTTTTACCCCATTTGGGGTAATTTACCCCGGTTCCCCGACCACTGTTCTAATCAAAAAATCCGATTCGCTAATTTTATGTTTTCTCGACGTTTCAAGCCATTCTGAATCGAATAAAACCAAGTTTGGAAAAAGTATTTTTGTGTATGTGAACAGATTTTTAGCCGTAAATCGACGTTTTCTCAAAAACGGCTGGACGAATTTTAAAAAATTTAAAAGCCATCCGATGTATCTCGATGAGGGCTAGAATTTACCAATTTTACGCGACAATCAGCAATGCTTTTTTCCTGTAAATAACAGAAAAGTGAAAAATTTATGTCCACTTTTTTACATACCAAAACACGGAAACATACCGCAAAACTTTGATTTTAGAGTGAAAAGCGATGTCGTCTGCTGCTTGACATGAAGCTGCCCGAGACGAGGTTTGGTACCCTAGAAATTTGTTGAAAAAAAATCAAATACCTGTGATCCTCCGCCGCAAGGGTCTGAACATAACGACCAATCTAAATATTCCCAATGATAGAACCGGCTTGTAGTTCGAATCGTGCTTCTTATTGTAATCACGTAACTGAATTTAATGCCCTCATTGACGCATTATTGTAAACAAGCTGAAATCAAATTGAATAATACCCATTACATTTTTAAATTAGAACATTTTATCGACTAATTTTTTTCGTCCTTATATCCTCATTCACTCGTCAATGCACAAAATTGTGTCACTCCCAGTATATTCGTCCATTACCATAAGCTGGTTAATCTAGTCTCATAATTTATTCCACCTTTGTTGGAATTGTTTATGAAAATTTTAACAGTTGTTTCTAGCTGAAAAAATATCGTTACAATAATTTATTTTCTTACAAATACATTCAGGGTCTGTTGTGTCGGGCCTCGTATGTATAGTTTTTCTTTCGACTCGTATCTTACATAGACGCCTTCATCTTGACCGAATTTAACTTCTCCAGACAATGCCTTATGACTAGAACATAATAATATTAAAATTGACTGAATAATTAATTAACGAGGAATAAAATCTAATAATCTTACTGATGTCCGTTCAGGTACCATGTATTATTTTCTTTGTCCGAAACCGCTAGATTACAGTTTGATGGTTTCATTTCTTCAAAGGTAATCATTCCTGAACCTTTTGGTATTTGCTCAATCAGATTGTAATCTGCAATGTATATCAATTTTTATAAATTCTAGCATATTTTTTGTTTTGATCTTCAAGAATGGTTAACTAAATTAAATCAGTCTTTCTACAATTCTCGTTGAACATTGAAGATCCGACTAAATGTATTTTTCTACTGTATAAATATTATGTTCAAGTTGATGCAATGAATGCAGTTGCTTGTTAATATTGTTCAAAAATAAATTATTATGTAGGATTAACCAAATTCCAGACGAAGTTACGAAATGTCTATATCAATTCTAACATGATAGAATATAATAAAAATCGCTTTCAAAATGGTTCAACTTCTAAATCGATCGGCTGATTTTGTTTTGTCGACGTTTCAAGTCATTCAGAAACGTTTGACACTAAAATTGAAAATAATTGATTTTTCATTGGCATTCCGAAAATTAAAAACTATTTGACGAAACTCAATAAAATTTATTAGTTGTTCGAGATATTTGGCCGAGCTGATTTTTAGGATTTAACGATATTTTTCACACAAATTTTTGCAAAACACTTCATTGATTCTGAAAATTACTGTTTGTTTCATAATTGATTTTTAAATTCTTGGACAATTTTATTGAAAATTTGTTGGATTATAAATTCAAGATCTTCAAGAAAACACTAAACACGAAGGGTTTAGTGACTATGAGAGCTTTCATTTGTTTATATAATAGAACTACTAGAGGTGAATGGCATCGTGCATTTTTTGGAATTTTTTGATAATTAGAAAATGTTGTCTAACTTTTAACATTATAAAACTTGGTACGAAACCCATTTAAAGATAAAATAATTTTACTTATTATTAGAATCTCTATAAAATATCTGATGATTTGATGCGCATATGTTGTAAATCATTGAAACCGCTAGACTGCTTTCCCAAAATTTACGAAATTCTTCATTTTGCCAATATAAGTAAAATGTTTAATGAATTATTCAAATCGGTTATCCGTGCTTTCGAAATCGTCGACATACATACACACATAATTACACACATATATACATCCATTTTTCTTGAAAATATGTCAAAATGTTCAGAAACCTTTGAAACGTAAAAGAATATAGGAATTTTTTATTTTCGATTTTCTTGCGTTTACTATGACTATATGAACTACTAGTCGAGCGCAAAATAAGTGCGTAAAGGTAAAAGGGGACTGTGACGTCACTTGCTGAACGAGCATAGCCGACATTCGTATAACTCTCCCTATTGATTAAATGTCATATATCATATGCCACGCGCTAACCTAAAATTAGATCGTGTGCTTAAAATTATTAAATGGAAAATATTATCATTTCTAGCTCAAATTATCTGCCCACACACATTGGCCATTATATTATTGAAATAAAACTGTAACAGATAATTTTTAATAACATCAACTATTATGATAAATATTATTAATATTTTCTCCTGCAAAATGATCAGTCTACGTAATTCCCATTATATTATTAAAATCTAACATATGACATCTAATCAATCGCGAGAATCCACGATTGCCGGCAACGCTCGTACAGCAAGTGACGCCACAGCCTACCTTCTATCTCTGTATACTTTATACATTGGAACACATGAGGACTAGCAGTCCATGCAGTATAAGGTCTATGCTTTGCATACACAACTCTTCTAGCGTTTTGAAATTTTAAATCGTTAGTAAATGTTATAGATCATAGGTTCCCAAACTTGTTTGTACCGTGGACCCCCTATATTAAAGTGACCCACGTACCAGTTTCGTCGGAACAGTCGCGGATTTCATCTAGTGATCCGGGTTTAAATCGAATCTTCGCAATGCTTGATACTAAAATTTTAACTACCCATCAAATATTGGAAACGATATATTTCACATCACTCAATAAATCCGTAGGATAACTAAGAAAAACCATTTTTTTGCAATTTTTTTTATGCAATATAGTTTTTTTTGAAGACGATATAAAGATTATAGCGAATTTCAAACTTTTCGAAACCATTTTTAGTACGATTTGTAATTTGCCACAAAATTCAGGTATCATCTCATCATTTGGTAAAAGTTTCTTCACAGCAAGCATCCTTTTGAGATCTGAGATCGGTATATGGTCGCTGCGGAACAGCGACTATATAAAGAATATGATAAAAGGGGAAGCAATTCGGATCCCAATTCATATTTTTTCTTCTTTTTTTTTTTTTTTTTTGACCAAATTTAAAGTTAGTCATTCAATAGTTTTTAAGATATACGAGGTTAATGGATGGCTGACTGGCTCCGCTCTTAATACTGGTATTGAAACAGGTTGTACGTTTTCAAAATGCATAATTCGATTTTGATGAAACGTGACATATATTGTTACTACAGTTTACTAAATAATAGACAAAAATTTACCTCTTGAAAGTTGCCATAGACCCTTGGGAGTCCATGCGCTCTAGATCATTTACTCGATTTTATTTTGTATTAAAAACAAATAACAAACAAGTTTACCTGTCCCATTCTCCTCCAGATACTCTCCTCGTATGACTTCGCACTCCGTGCCGTTGCCATGGCATACCCCGCATCTGTCCTCCACCGCCGTACTGTCTATTACGAGATCACAACCTACACGCTGCAAAACATAACATAGTTCCTGTTCTAATAATAATAATAATCATAATCATAATTAACTAGATACCAACACATTTATTTATAGAGCTGTATCTGCCCACACAATTGTAAGAATTAACAAGATAGGAACACATTTACACAAACGTGTCTATTTGTAGAGTTACATTTATTCCCGCATTACTGAGAACTTGGGGTTTACAGGGACATCAACTTTCTTAACATGCAACCATAAAAAAATGCAAACAAGCTATTGCATTGTCTCACGAACTTTTGGCCATAATAGATGTCACTTGTATATTATCATAATTACTTTTTTTTTTGTTCAAACTTATTTTTTTTAACTTACCGAAGGAAGTTTTGACGAGAAAATCCGATTCGCTGGAAAATTTTGGAAAAAGTACGTAGTATGTGTAAGTATGGCTGTGTGTATGAAAGAGTTGATTTCTGACATTTCGTCGGCGTTGTCTCAAAGAACGGCTGAACCGATTGCAAAAATGCAAGACATTCAATGTAACTATAAGGAGTTACTTCGATCATTTTTACGCAAGCCGTTTTCTTAAATTAACTGAAAAGTTTTTTTTAACTCTAGTCAAATTACACTTTTCTACCATAATTTCATTGACGTTTCAAGTCATTCTGAATTGAATGAGCCCAAATTTGGAAAAAGTATGTGTTATGTAACAGTGTTTTTTTGACTTCAGTCAAAATTAAACCTTTCATTTATATTTTCATTGATGTTTCAACTCATTCTGAATCGAATGATACCAAATTTAGAAAAAGTATATGTACGTGTATTTATGTATCAAGTATATGTGTGTAATGTGAGCGTGTCGATTTTTAACATTTTATCGACGTAGTCTCAAAAAATGGCTGAACCGATTTTAAAAATGTAAGACGTTCGATGTAACTTGATAAGGACTCGCTCTGATTATTTTTGAGCAGGCCCTTTTCCCAAAATTAGCAGAATAGTGTTTATTGACTTCAGTCAAAATTCGATATTTTATTGACGTTTTTTTAAAACCGATGTGAAAAATTTAAGTCATTCGATTAAATGCACTCGGATATCTTTTTATGCCATCCGCTTAGTCGTTTAAATTTCCACGAGCTAATCCTATTTGCTAATTTTATATTTCCTCGACCATTCAGTCATTCTGAATCGAATGAGACTAAATTAAGAAAAACTATGTGTGTATCTGTGTCTTCATTAACGTTTTCTCAAACCGATGTGAAAAATTTAAAAGCCATTTGACGAAACTTGATGTTGCACTCGCGTTGGATATTTTTTATACTATCCTCTTAGCAGTTTCTTTAGAATAGCAAAAAATGCTTTTTTTTCTCCACTTTTTAGCAAAAAAAATCTAACTAACTTTGAAAATTCAAAAACTATTGAAAGGAATAATTTAGGAATCGTGCTAATTAGTTTTTTACGAAGATTAGCCGATTTGGTCACATTTTTTTCCGACAATTCAAATGAAACTTAGTGTGAAATGTACTTGCAATCAATAGAGTACGTAGTATTAATGAACATATTAAAATATTATAGTCTTACAAAAAGAGAAAATATAAAAATTATGATTCGGATTATTTGGCTACGCTTTGTAATTCATAATGTGTAACAAAATTGAATATTATTTTAATTCTTTTTAAAATTGAATAATATACAATAGTTTTTACAACAGTCTTGCAATAGTTGCCCTATAGCAACACGGTATACTTATAAATAATTCATCATAAATTAAGATATTGCCTATTTATGAATTCAGTAGTTCCGATAGTTCACACATATAGAAAAGTTACTGCAACTTGCCTTAAAGCAAAATGACCCTTTTTACTAGTAATTTACTTCGTTTGTTACTCGAATTATTTTCCATTGAACGTGTTTAAAAAATCAAATGGAACTAGAATTCCAATCTAGTAGAATCCAGAATTGCACAAATACAGTCAACCCTAGGTTAACACAGCACTCTTGGTGCACGGTTCCCATACTACGCGGAGATAAAAATCCGGCATCCCTCCGACTACACCGACTTCCTATTACACGGATTTTGTTCAACAGCCCTATAAGTTCATTGCGCAACCTTTGAGTGATTATAGGAGCTTGATATCAAAAGGGTATCAATGTAAGTTTTGTATCGACTTTTATCCTTTAGACATGCCTAATTTTATAATAGCTGTCTAAGAACACGTTTGAACTAACTACTGCGTTGCGACAATTTTTAAATGAGTTGTCTAGGTCAGGGCTTCTTAAACTTTTTTATGTAGCGACCCCCTTCAAGCTTAGGAAATTTTAAACGACCCCCCTCCAAATAATAAAATATATATTAACCGTTATCGCACTATTTTACAATGTAAATAAAATAAGGTTTGAAGAATATGTACCCATTCATGTTATATATAATTGGAAACGTTGACATAAAACTATATATATATATATATATATATATATATATATATATTCAATAGAAAAAATAAACTTTTGTAACAAATTCTTTATAGAAAACATAAAACTATATCTACATATTCAATAGAAAAAATAAAATTTTGTAACATTTTTTTAATGAAAACCTATTATTAACATCAAACAATATTAATGTGATGAATGTGATTGTTTATTTTTACAGAAATAATTAAATCTAGGCTCAACTTAAGTTAGTGCAGATCGTAATAAATTTTCAACGTATATTAAAGTTGAACGGTATTTTGATTTTATGTAAGTTAATGTAGAAGAGGCTGATTCACATAAATATGTTGCACAAAATGGCAGTAATTTGTTTATTGCCATTTCCGATAGTAGGGAATATTCTGATTTGATTTCAATCCAAAATTCATGCACAGACACTTGAAAAAATCTGAGTCGCAAGGTAGTATCACTTGTTAATTCGGTAAATTCTTCTTGTGCTTTTAAGTTTGAAAAATTAATTTCTTCCATTTCAATTGAAAATGGATTGCAAATTCATTGTTGTGTATCGATATCATTGAAAAAATACCTATGTAAACTCCCATATTCTTCAAATGACTAACTATAATTTTTGTTATAGGAGTATCTTTTTTTGAAATATTGTTACTAATTATATACTCGTCAGTGAATGGAAACATTTTGAGCGATCCACTTTCTACTGTATAATACATAAATTATCGTGAAAATAGTCGGCCTAATAATACTAATTTAAAATTTTGTTTATAATGATTGAAAAGAATCAGATCTTTGCGACCCCTTTTTAGTAACCTCGTGACCCCCACTTTAAGAAACCCTGGTCTAGGTCATACATGTCATTTCATGCGTATTACTTCTACTTCAAGTTGTATTCTTGGTCTCCATACAGCACGATAAAATGGTGCAATTTGTACTAACTCTGAGTCTCTTACAGCGCGGTTTCCACACTGCACTGTATAGGTTTCCATAGAACGCACTACGAATTAGCCTGAATTGTATGTTAAATACGAGTTTTTTATAGCACGGTCCCATGCTGCACGGTACGGACTTGCCGCATTAACCGAGTCTTAAAGTCTTAAAAAATTTACTTTATGTAAATATGTATGGTATGATTAAAAACTAATTTTGCTAGCAATTTTATTATCTATCGTTTTAGTTAATTTTATCATAATTTTTTAATGTAATATTTTTGCATTACCCTGCACGTGCCCTCAACACACAGGTCAGGCGTTCCTGGCTTGCAGGGTGTTCCATCGCGAACAACAGGCGACCTGACCGCCGGTACACCAACGTCATTAATGCATATCAAGGCACATTCTACATCTAGTTCAAAAACACAAAGTTATTTAAATCGTGAAAATATTAGGCATTTTGAAAATGTAATACATAGGGTAGAGCGGGGCTTAAATGTCCTCGAGTGAAATGGTCTACCAATAATATCTCTAATACAGGTGAAGTTAGGAATTTTTTAACAATAATATGTCAAAGTAGAGGAAAAAAGATGTATAACAAGCTATTAAAAGATAAACTCCAAGATTGGAAATCTATAACAAAAGTAGTTTTTTTTATTTTTATTTTTTTTGGTTGTGTCACTGTTGTTTAGTTTACGAGACACTTCGTATAATTTTTACGTTATTTAATTGCTTTATAAGATGTAGTATTAATTAACTTCCCGTAGGGTAAGTTATAGTAATCGTCCAAAAATCGAAATTGAAAATGTTTACTATTCTTCACGTTTTGAAAGTTTCTGAACATTTTGGCATACCTCAGAAAGAATGGATGTGTGTATGTATATATGGATACAAATTTTCGTCCACGTTTTCGGCCCCACGGATCAACCGATTTGAAATGGTTTAAAAAACATTCGATTCCAATTGATAGGGAGATGTGTTGATTAGTTTTTGGCATAGGCAGGTCCAGCAGTTACGGAGATAAAGTGCAAAGAGTGCAGAAAATAGAAATCGAGTTTTTGAGAGAACAAAACATCCGATTTGAATGATCTAACAAACATTCAATTAGTAATGATTGGGAGAAGTGGTTATTAGTCATTTTACAAAAATAAATTGAGTAGTTCTTCGAACTCTGCTGATGAATATTTCTTACAATATACTAGATCAAGGTTATAAATGTGTTCTTTGTATCTGTCCTATTTTACTTCGCATATGGGGTAAAAGTGAACACATGACAATTTTTTGAAAATAAAAAGAAAAATATTTATACAATGATGTGTTAGCTGTGAGTTTTACTGAACATAGTCAGATAGCTGTTTGTTTGATATGTGGTATTTGTTATGCTGTGTTATTGGTTTGGTTTTCATAATATAATTACTCACAGTGAATTTAGACCTTTGTGTCTCGCCCTACCGTACACATAAAAGACAAAAATTACATGATAAATTTTAAGAAGATCGACAGAATAATTTTACGCATAATAATATGTTGTCAAAGATTGATAGATTGCTCTAGATTTTTTCTATATTCCTTCTATTATTGATATGTACATACTTACACACAAATAACTACTAAATGATCTCCAATTCCATGTTCTTCCTCTAAAAGGTCTGTCGTTGGTCTCGGCACATTGCACATCTCTAAAACTTTTACCTACTCCAGGGCAAGCCTTTAAGATTGAACAACGTTAATGAGTTATATCTTATAAATATATAATTTTTAATGAAAAATATATATATTAGGGTAATCCTTAATATTGACATTTTTGAATTTCCTTGCTCCCAATGACTAACATGGTTCCAAATTGATCAAAAAACAATTCTCTGAAAGTTTTAGCTCCTAATAGTCTTTTAGATTGAGCGCAATTCAGTTAAAGTTTGGTATGGAAATAGAATGGAAAAAATTTCAAAAATTATGCAGAGCGTCGAATTTTCAATAACAAATGACACGAACTTTCAATAAAAAATGACACGACATTTCACTTTTAATTCGTTTGTCGCTAACTTATACCTAAATAATTTTGTTTTCAATTTTCAAAAAAATTTCCATGCTATTTCCATACGAAGTTTGATTGAATTGCGCACTATCTAAAAGTTAATATTAAGAGCTAAAACTTTCAGAGAATTGTTTTTTTATCAATTTAGAACCTTAGGAGCAAGGAAATTAGAAAATGTCCATATTAAGGACCACCCTAATAATATAATATATATATGTATATATATATATATATACATGCAGACCTAGTAGATTATCTACAAATTTAATGCTGATTTGTTGCACACTGAATATTTTCCGTACAGTAAATAGGTTATATAATAGGATTATCCGATGTGATCCAAAGCCAGAGTCATAAATTCTATAATGCTGTAATCCTGTCTATGTAATTGATTGTAAAATATTGTCGTTGACATTCAATTGTTACGTATATCCATACGTCCAAGTTTATAAATTAATGCTAATACTTTTAAATCAGTATATTCAATCAGAAAAATAGGTTTTTTGTTTGAAATTGAAAACCATTGTCTTCACCAGTTAACTGTGATTGACGAATGTAATTGTCATGAAGAAGTGCCAGAATTTAGTGTAAACTAGCTGTAAGTGGAATTCTGTCTTAAGGCAATTAGGGCATCGTGTCTTAAGGCAAATTGCAGGAACTTCCCGTACCAAAAATTATTATTTTTTAAAAACGATTAACATTTTTGAAAAAATTTTATTTCGCAAAAATAAGATTTTTGAGAAACTATAAATTGGACAAAAAATTACTTTTTCTTGAAAAAAAATTTTTTTTTTAAAAAAAATAAATCTAAAAAAATGTTTTCTTTATTTGACATATTTTGGAAGATCTGAACTTTTTTCAAAGCAATCGTACTGCTTTAACTGCATAGAGACAAAATATAAAGCGTAAAGCGCCGCGTCGCTGTCTAACGGATATTGGTACGGAACCCATAGGAATGTAAACAAAATTTATACTTATTGTTAAAATCTCTATAAAATATCTGATAATTTGATGTGCATATGTCTAATGATCATTTTTGACCGCCAGATGGCATTTTTTTTTACTTTTTTCGTTAAATCTCCGAAAGCGCTAGACCTGCCCTCATGAAAATTTGATCACTTCTTCATCTTGGTCAATACAAGTAAAATGTTTTTTTGAATTATTAAAATCGGACGCTCTCCGTTCTCTTAAAAACTGAGTTACCGTTTTCGGCACTTTTTGCCCCGTATCTTCGGAACGGCTGGACCTGCCTTCGCCAAAAACTATCAGCACGTCTCCTTATTAATACGAATCGAATGCTTTTTGAATTATTTAAATCGGTTGTTCCGTGTTCCCGAAATCGTCGACGAAAATTTGTATCCGCACATACATACACACACGTACATACATACACACACATACACACACACACACACACACACACACATACACATACATCATTTTTTCTAAGGTATGCCAAAATGTTCAGAACCTCTAAAACGTAATGATATATGAAAATTTTCATTTTCGATTTTTTTTGCGATTACTATAACTTACCCTACGGGAAGTTAATTAAATTTTTTGAAAAAAAGACATACAAATATGAGATGTTCGTTGTTCTAAAACTAATAAATTCATTAACAAATTTTGAAAAAAATTGTAAAAATTAAATTTCATTACTCACAGTGAATAAAAATGACCGAAAAATGCTTGTCCCGCGATATAAATAGGAGGAAGCGGCAAAGTCTACCAAAAATTATTAGGTTTTGTATTATTGCATAGTTTGGCGAAAATTTGTAGGTGGCAACTTCAGAAATATTTCATCATTTTGATCCTAGCTGTATGAATGCGTAAAAACGAAACGCATAGGTCAATTTGACCGCGCGCGGTTTTTGTGTCAGTAGCTTTAGTAACAATGGTGGATGAGTGATGTGGGTAAGAGATAATCAGAGCGCTGGTCATAAATTACGAATAAGACGATCACCCACGGTTATTTAAAACTAAAAATAAAATAGAACCTCGTTAGAACAAGTTTTATATCTCTTCCTCTCTCCATGCAAGGTCGTCCGCCGTCCGTGGGCGCGGGATTATTGCAACTTCTCGTACTGATAGCAATCCCCGTGCCGCAGGATCTGGTGCACTCCGACCAGGGACTCCAAGGGCCCAAGCACCGTTCATGCCACCTGGCCGCTGACCCAGTTTCACGCAATTCCCTCGATAGCACCACTGTAATAGACGAGTGATATGTTGAAGTTTAAGGGGGTTGTTGGTTTTTATTTATTCTCTTTCCGATTTTGAGATTTTTTGATTTTATGAAAGCTAAAAACTATGAAAGGTCTCGGGCTCTGCAAGGTTTTATAGCTCGAAAATTATTGGTGCATGTCATCGTGCCTTAATGCAAATTGCTGGAACTTCACGAACCGTAATTAAAAATTCGAGTAATGATATTAGTGAGAATTATCAAAATACGCTTGATTAATCAACGAGCAATCTCTTGCCGCAAAAAATAATGATGTACAACCGCACTGAATTTCACACATTCAATCAAAAATTGCTGGCGATTTGGTGACATGTTGACTTCAAACGATTGCAATTCTAGTTCGGCCTTGCGTTCGCAATGATAATTAACAAGTCGCAAGGCCAATAGCTTAGTGTTTGCAGGATAAATCTCAAATAGATTATTTATAAAATCATTGTTTTTCACATGGGCAGTTATACGTTGCCTGTTCACGAGTTGGAAAACCATCCGCTTTGTTTGTGTTAACGTCAGACCAAAAACAAAAATGTGGTTTACCAAAGATCACTTCAATGAAACGGACAATTTGCGGATACACTTTCACTTACTTAGAGAAGTTCAATTAAAAAACACTTAATTTTTGTAATCGAAATAAATCATTACTGTTGTATAATAAAATCAATTCTTTCTTCTTTTCAAATATAAAACAACAATAAATTTCTTCATCTTTCTCACGAAATCATCTGGTGGCGAAACGGAGTTCGTCGGGTTTGCTAGTAGATATATATCTCTAAATGTATGATCCTCTGAAACCGTTTTTTTTAT